GTTAGGTTTTTTAAAGAGTGTTTAATCTGTTTGAAATGTTACCAAGTTTTTTAAGGTTGTGATGAAGCTTGAATGCTTTAGATAAAAAGATATATTGAAAGTTATGAACAGCAAACTTCTTGTTAGGAATATGCTGGAATGCTGCAATGATAGTGCTAGTTTGGATTTTATACCATATGTATTTTAGAGATTCTGAGGTGTTAAGTATATAAGGAGTATTATTAGTTCTGAGATTGGATAATATTTGTTCTGAGTAGTTTAGCTATTGCTTTTTATTTATATTTTTGTATTGAAAAATTCTTCTTTTAATTTTGGTTAGATGATAATATTTGCCTCTAAGTATATATAAGAAAGACTATGATGATATCAGAATTTTGTAGTCTTTTTTAGTGCAAGTATCAGTATTTTCAAGGTAGAAGAAGATTAGATAGTGGAGAATAGAGTGATAAGTCCAGATATAGTCAATACGACTACTACTGTGCCTGCTATTATGCTATGTAGTATTTGTAGATTGTGTATAAACTGCCAGATCATATATATTGTTGTATTGGAAAAGTAAAGAAACTTATATTTAATAGATGAGGATTGTGTATTATTACTAAAGGAATTAAAGTTTCTCCATAATTATAAGTTGAATATTCAAAGAAATAGCTTGTTGAATCTATTGGATAATAGTGTTTTGAGCTTGTAAATGAAGTTGAGAACTATCACAGAGAAGGTAAATATTAATAATTCTGAATTTAAAATCATGTTTGAAGAATAAGTCAATAGTAATAGCATATCTGGATTCAGTAAGAATATTAGTAAAAAGTTTAGGTGTTGGTGATAGAATTAGTAGGAAGCAGTCTGATAAAGTGTTAGGTATTATATAATTAGTTCTAAGAAGAATGTTGCAGTAGTATTATAAAGTTTCTCTGCATAATACAAAGTGGTTTAGTAATAGCTTTAATTCAGAAGCCAAGTAAATATATGCTTTAGAATAGGCTTTTTTAACAGAAATAGTAAGAGTATAGAAATGCTTTTCTAAGTTGTATTCAAAAAGGCTAAGATATCTAAGGAATGAATTAATGATTTGTGATTCTGGTATTGTTGGCAATTAGTGATATTTGAGAAATTTATTATAGCATGTTGTTAGATATAGAAGAAGTCTTAGAGCAGAATCAGTGGTTTGTTTAGTATTATAAAGACCAAGATAGGCATCTTGTCGAGTATAATAGTATAGGTTGTATGTTCAATTATCTCTAATAATATTAGAGAGAGATTCTGGTCTAAGTGAATGAATGTCAAAAGTAGTAGATAGCAAATAAGAGAGAAGTATCTGTAGCTTTCAACTGGTATTCTATAATAACTACATTGTGTATTTCTATACTTAGACTTAGAATAGATATATGCAATGCTATAGTCTTCTTTAATTAGTATATAGAAGACAAAATTGTATATATTGTAGAAGTGTAGAAAGGAAATAAGATTTTATTGTAGTATATATTAGGATTGTATGTAATTATATGTGGTTTGTCAATATTAGAAATATTTGTAAGATTATAAAAAGTATCTAAATATATAGGTTTGATAATATTGAAGATGATTCAGATAGGTTCTTCTACTGAATTGTTTGCTGTTTTAAGCTCAATTCTTACAACTGTGCAGAATTCCATGCCTGCCCTATACATTGGGTCTAGCTATTATATAATGGTCCTCTGCATAAATAGGCTTAACTGCCTGCCTACTTATATTATTTTTCTTATCAACTACAATGAATGTTTCTTTTGATAAGGTGGCGACTGCATTTATGGATATAAAATACAAGTTTATTGAAAAGGAGTCTCTTTAAGAAAAAGAGACTTATTAATTAGAAATAGAATTTGGAAGTTAATATTAAATTTTTCATAAAGGTATTTATCTGCTTCTGAATAGACATTTTTGTAAAATATTTGATAATTTGAAGGTATGTGAATCGTTAATCATAGGTATTTAATCAGATTATGACTTTTGCAAGAAAGTTAGTACTGATTGGTCGTTCTGTAAGGAGGTTAATGGCTTCTTTTTTGTTTAGATTTGTAAATTTGTAGTTTATTATTGCTTTTCTTTGGTATACTTCTAAATACAAATAAAAGAAGAAGCTACATCTACTTTTATTAGTCTCTACTGAGTTAGTTTTGCAATATAATTCTTCAGCATCAGATGCTAAGTCATCTAATGTTTTGGTTAGAATAGGTTTAAGGAAAGTGGCTGCATATTTTTCATCTTTAAAGAAATTGTTTTGTCTATTTGAATCTCTTCTTTAGGCTATTTTTCATATGATGCAGTAAGAAGTTCTTTGTATATATGGCTAAAGTTATATTGAAATTGTGTTTTTAAAGGTGTATTGTCTTGTGTTTTAGATTCTGTTAATAATGTTTTGCCTTTGTTCTTAATAGTGATTGTACCTGTACTAAAAAGTACAACTCAGGTTATCTGTGAGTAATCCAGATAGAACAATGGGTCTACTCGGATACAAAGATTACCCGTCAAACCTAGGTCAGAATCAAAAAATTAATATAAGATATAAATATATACCGTGAATTAGATCCATATACGAACAAACTACAGGATCTTTGTAAGCGTACTATACTCGGATCTATTATAGATTTTAAAATCGTTAGAATATAACAAATCCGAGTCTCATATACGATCTTTTGTGTAGTAACTTAGAAAAAAAAAGATTAGCTTTGCTGATTAATTTTAATTGTTAACCGATTTTTAGAATCAAAATTCAGAAAATAAGCATTTATGTATTGTTGTCAAATTATGAACCTCATTTTGCATTTCAAAATAATTAAAAACATGCTTTGAGTGTTTAACCCTCATAAATGAAAGCAAAAAAGAAAGCGCAAAGATCAAACTTTAAACAACCTTTTCAAGAAAAAAGAAAATGTTATAGAATCTGAAGAGCTTGAACATACGATATATGAAAAACTTATGGATATTGAAGGAGAACGCATTATACATATTGATCTTGAGATAGCTGTGAAATGATTAACGAATTAGAAAAAAATGATATTGATGAATTTTTTTGCAAGTATATTAACGCTTGAGATCGTAAGTTCTGTGAAAAGAGATGGTTATTTATATGTTCACCATAAAAGTATCATAATAACAATCAAATACATTTCATTTATCTATTGGTGCAACTGTCACTAAGCTTGAGAAGAGAATTTAAAAAAATAATGAAAGTCAACAGCGATAAAGAGTTACGAATTGAACATTATAGGAATCTTTGGGTGTTGTTTGTATCTCCAAAAATTTTTGTAATTTTCACTAGTATATATTGTGTTTACTAATATTATGTTTTAGGTGCTCAATTGTTCTTGAAAAGTCTAATAATCTTCCAAAACAAGATAAATGGCTTTGAAGTATTATATCAAACTTTTATTTATTAAAAAAATGGTAGACGATATTAAATATTTCGAGCGAGCAAAAGAGCTTCCGAAAACTTGAAGTGGACATAATAAGAGCACCTTTTACTAGTAGCATAGATTCGGGCTTAAAGCTTTATACATGTATTAAAAAAAAGTTAAATATTTGAATTTGAATATCGGTTGTGTATTTATCTTGAATGAACAATTTGAATAAATAATTTGAATAAATAATTTGAATAAATAATTTAAATAAATAATTTGAATAAATAATTCTAATAAATAATTTGAATAAATAATTTGAATAAATAATTTGAATAAATAATTCAAATAAATAATTCGAATAAATAATTTGAATAAATAATTTGAACGATTACATATATGATTTTGGTGGCGATATTAGGTAGGTTACAGCAAGTTGGTTCATGGGTTGGTTCATGGATAGACCAGCGGGTTAACCCGTCCAAGCCTACCCGGGTAAACCCGCGGGTCTACCCGTTCAAGTCTACCCGGGTAGACACAATCACAACCCAGATACCCAACCCACCCGGGTATACCCGGGTTAACCCAACCTGGGTTCAATCACTAGTTCTTAGGCTCAACTTTTTTTAAGTATTTGCATAAAGTATCTAAACAAGTAAGAATATGATAGTTGGTATGCTTGATACATTTATTGCAATGTTCTTAGTAGATGAAAGGTTCTAAGAGTGAAATAGATACTGAAATCAACTTCTTGAGGTATGAAATAAAATGTTGCCTAAATTAAAATTTTAGAGAATTGTAAACTTTGGTTTTATTAAGAGGATCTGTAAATTGTTAGTTATATTTTGAATAAAATGTTTCAAACCATTTATCAAAGTGCTTAAGTGAGTTTTTTAAGAATGGTATATTGAATTTTTCTAAGAAGAAAGTTTTAGGAATGTTGAAGTTAAAGTTGATATTAAATCTGCTGTTTATAAATATCTTAAAGTAGTTATTATTCTTGTCATAGTCAATAACTTGTAAGCTAATTTTGAAACGTTTAGATCGTAATCATATGTCTTCTGAGAATTTAGTATAATTTATAGTTTGATAGTTGTTAGAAAGATATAAATGTAAATAGGCAAGATTGATATAAAATTGTAAGTAGTTTTAAAATTTATAAGGTGGAACTGTAGTAGGTGAAGCAAAATTTTTGGATAATTAAGTTTGGTGAAGAGGACAGTTGTAAAAACTAAGATTAGTTTTCTAAGTGTTTCTTCTAGGATTGAGAATGGGATGGTAAATACTTTATTGATATTAGAATTATGTTTTTGTATAAAGTCTATTAAGAATTATGACCTTTCTTCTGCCATTTTGCAAATGATTTGATAAAAGCTTGCTTTAAGAGCTTTATGATTTGTAGTTGTTAGTTTAATTTCTTTACCAAATAAAAGTCAAATAAGTGTAATTTAAGAAAGTGAAATATTTTTGTAGCAAGTTCTGTTTGAAGCTTGTTGTTCTTTCTATTTCTGATATAACTAGATAGTTAGCTAACCAGTTAAATGTTGGCTTAGTTTGATTAGTGTTTGGGTTTGGATTAGTAGTAGGTTGATTTGTATTATTGTTATTATAAACAGCCTGTTTTTACTTGTTATTGTCAGTTTGATCTTGGTTGTTAATATGTTGTTGTTGTGCATTATACATTTGGTTCTTGTTGTTATTATATTGTTGTTCTTTTTCAGTATTGTCTGCTGAGTTGTGTCTATTAGTATTATTGGTATTATTATCATCGATATCCATATTGTTATTGTCATTAGTTGTTTTAGTAGTAGATGTTGGAGGTCTAAGTTTAGAGATTAAAGGATTTAAGGAGTTATAGGATTGATCATTAATTGCTTCAGTAGTAGATATTAAAGGTCTAAGTTCTGAGGTTAAAGGATTTAAAAGATTGTAAGATTAGTTAATAGCGAAAGTTTGTCTAAGTTGTAAAAAGAATTAACTACTTTTAGAAGAGCCTTGTTGTAGATCAGGTGTAGTATTTGTGCAAGATTTATGATAAATTTTTTTATCATCTAAGATTGTATCATGTGCTAAGTAATATTGATTGTTAATAATTTTGCAATTAATTGGTAAGTTACATTTTGCACAGGTGTGATAATACATAGTGAGGTTGGTGTAGATGTTGGTGATGGAGGAATAAACAAGGTAGAGTCTACAATAGATGTTGCTAAAGATTTTTTGTTGTTGAGTTTTTTAATTACTTTGGTTATTTTGTTTTTTTGATATGTGAGGTTTTGAGCAGATACAAAACATGTGTAGTACTTACTATACAAGCAAATTATAGTAGAAGTTGTTGTTAAAGCATTGAAATAATTACTGCTCTTAATAGCTTCTCTAAGTTGAGTAGTAATACAACTGTTAGGTTTCCTGTTATTAGAAATAGGATAAGATATATTAGATGTTTCTTTATATATTTCAATTCTGAAACTTTTTGAATAGTTTGTATATAAATAATCAAGATCTAGATCATTTAGTTGTACATCAGTTAAGGTAGGCATCTTGTGATTATACTTTCTTAAAGATATAGATTACAAAGTCTTATTAATATTTAAAGATATAGAATAAAAGAGTATATATATTTTCAGGCGTATTATTATAGCAACTGTAGCTTATGTAACCTTGTATAACTTATAATTTTTAAAGTTTCACAAGTTACATATTACACAAGTTATATATTACACAAATCATGTATTATACAAAGTTGCATAATTAGGCAATAATTAGATAACGTTACTAAATTGATTATAGAATAAATAGTAAATGCAGTAGTTATTTTGTATAAGTTAATTTTACCAAAAAAGATATAATTATATTATCCCTTAAACTGTAGACTTTTCCAGGCAAATTTGCCTGGAAAATTATCATAAATATTGTTATGATCTACTTTTTTTAAATTTTAATATAATTA